CTCTGCCCATGGGCCCCTTTGTGGTGCCTGTTGTGGCCAAGACCTGCACACTGTAACCTTTTCCCCAATCCTGCCTGGGTCAGATAGCTCCCCTGCTTCCTTCCTCCTCCATGGGGTGGGTGGGTCAGCAGCCGGGCTCTGTTGATTGGGACTCAGTGCCATCTTCTCTGGAGCCCTGGGCTCAGATGCCCTCAGCTGTAATTTTAGGCCAGCAGGAATCTCACTATCCTTGGCCTGTGCCAGCAATAAAGCTCCAAGGTGCTCCAACCTCTGACCACTACTTCCCACTCTGGTGCTGAGTGAGAGGAACTGTCCTCAGAAGACCTGGGGCCCTGCCTCTGCCCCATACCCACCTTTGCCATGCCCAGAAACCCCACCTCTGTGGAGAGTGAGACTCCCTGTTCTCCATCAGACCCTTCCTCACAGAAGGGTCCATGGCCCGTCCTGGAGACCTTATAGCAGTTGGGTGGGAGATAAACACTTTCAGAGTTAATTTATCAATAAAATATTTTCAGAGGAGAAAGTTCTGACCTTCTTGGAAAAACTTAGATGGCACTACAGAAGCAGTGGTTCTACCAGAAGTGGAAGTGGGGTGCGTCTGCCTCAGAACCAGGCACCTTCACATAAGACAAAGGAATCTTATCCCATGGCTGGGATGAGTGGGGGTCCTGGGAGCTGCCCCTTGAAGATCCTTATGACTCTCTGAGAAGTGGTTTTTCATAGGGATAAAAATGTAGTCCTCAGAGGTTGGGGAGGAACTCTCAGTCTTGGTGGAAATGCCTGGATTCCTAGGAGCCTGGCTTTGGGGCTTAGTGAACTACTGGCTAGGGACTATTTGGGATAAAGTCCTTCATGGAAACATTGATACACATGTAAAAGGGCCTGATCACCCCCAGCCAGAATCCCCAGCAGTCCCCCAACCACTGTCAAACAGCCTGGGATTCACAAAGAGAAAACTGCCTTCTTTACCCACCAAGAGGGCTTCTTTGAAACTGGGCTCACAACCACCTTACCCACTCCCCTGCAGATCTGTCATCCCCCATAGGCACAGATTCTCCCCAGAGAAAGCCTGTCTTCCACTGCCTGCCTCTTCCCCTGCCTCAGCCCCAGTCCAGCACCCAAAGCAGAATTCACAGTGCAGAGAGCCACAAACACATCCAGCCATCAGGCCCTCGGTAATCCCTCCCTTGCCTGGAGCATTTGGCTGGGAGCTCTAGATAGTGCACATTTGTCATTTGGCTAAAATTCAGTGATTTAGAATGGCACAAAAGCAGAGTGTTGGATTAGGTTTCAAAATGAAAATCTGACAGTGTTTTGGCAGATGTCCTGCACATGGCAGGGAGACCTGTAGGGGCACACACAGGCTCAAAGTGGTAAAACAGGAACTCCAGTGGTTTTCCTTCCAATTCTTACCATCAGCTGCTGAGGCTTAGAGATGGGAGGCTAGGAGCCAAAAGAGAAGCAGGCAGGGAAGCCCAGGGCAGCTGGGGCCCTTGGCCAGACCAAGTCCCAAGCACTAGTGGGGGAATTCAAGTACTGCTCTCCTTGCAGATGATGATCTGTCTTGGTTGAGAGGAGCATCCAGGGCCTTAGATCTCAGAGGAAGGAAGGGAGCCAGCAATGTCTGGGGGGAGAAAGAGTAGCGAAGAGAAATGGGAGGTGGATGGTACAGGCAAGGCTGAGGGATGGGTCTGGAATGGTTCTGACCATGTCTCCTCCATCACCTGGCTCAGCATGGCTCAGAAATTCTTGCTGCATCGTCACTCTGGGCTGAAGCCCAGAGAATTGCCAGGCTCCTAATTACAGGCATTTCTCACTGGTGTCATAGTGGCTGTAGCAGGCTCAGCATCAGTGCTGCATTGTGTCATGCAAGGAGTGCTTGCTGCTCTGAGCAATTGCTCCTTTTCTTCTCCACTTTCCCTTCTATCTGCCTCTGCTCACATGCAGTTTCTTTTTGCCATCTCTTCCTCATTCTAATCCTTGCCAGCTGCTCTTTCTGACCCTCCCTATTGAGGGCCCTTGGGTTCATGCACACACACACCAACAGAGTAGTCAAGCCCTGGATAACTCCAATCTCTCTGTCCCCCTCCCCCCACATACATTTCTTTTCTGTCCAGAAACTGAATGGGGCTGGTGGGGAAGGAGTTGGGGAGGGAGTACAGCTTGGTGCTCACCAGCTCCAACACTGTTGATTTTCCTCAGTAAGAGTTACCCGAGCCCTTTGACTTCAAAAAGAGGCCAAGACTTTGGTTAGACAGCTCTTCCCTTTTGTCTCATGCCTTATCCCATACCCGAAGCAGGTTTCTCAGGAGTCCAGGTAAATCCCAGTGCATACATCTGCAGTTCCAAATCTTTGTCCTGAGGAAGGCTGAGAGACAAATTCACCTCCATTCATTCTCTTAAAACATTTATTGAATGTTTAAAATATGATAGGTGCTGAGGATAGAGAGGTGAATGAGGAGGACACCAGCCCTGATTTTATGAAGTTGCAGTTCTTTTGAAGAAAGAGACAGTAAACAACTAATCACATAAATAATCAAAATAGCAGCAGTAATTAATTACTGTTGTGTTAACTGTGAAGAACAAGAATGACTTGGCACTACAGAAGGTTTGGTTTACAAGGAATAGCAGAATCAGAGGGATGGGGCTTGGGAGAGGCTGAGAAGAGCCCAGCCTCTCTTACCTCCTTTCCAGGCTCCTGCACAGTGATGGATGAGGGGCAGGCCGGCAGTTTATTTCCCCTGGAAGCCACGTTGCAGGGTTCCAAGACTCTTACTATTTAATAAAGAACGCTGCATGTGTCCTGAGGAGATGGATGAGCAAATATTTCTGATTGAAGAACAATGTGCTCTCCCTTATATGAATGGATACGAGGGAAGTGAGAAAAATAGATGGGACACAGGTCTGAACTACTGGGAGGGTAGAAAGGGTCAACTATACAGTTGTCCTCTCTGAGGGGCACAGAACCCTACCCTGTGGGTAGCTGCTGCCCCCTGATGGGCATAGGGAAATGGTTTGTTTTTGTTCTTTAAGAAAAACTTGGATCCAAATTATTTCAAATAGTATTAGTAGAGAATGTTGCAGAGATATTGGAACAACCTTCTCCTCTGTACATATTGAGGCCAAGACTAGGAAGGCCTCACCACAGCTGGGGCCCTGAAGCTTGCATTTTAGTCCTTGGTGATGGAATTGTGGTTTTAAGGTGAAGGGTGCAGAAGGGAAAGAGAAAGAACAGGTAGGAATGTGGAATCTCAAAACAACTTTGTGCAAGCAATCCAGTTCATTTCCCTCATCTATTTGGCTCTCTTTATCCTAGGTAGGATTAACCTAGTAACCTTAACAATCTGTTTTGTATTTCAGTGCTCCCTCTCCTGAGTTATGTGTCTAAAAAGAACTGTGTTGTGTGTGTGTGTGTGTGTGTGTGTTTTTAAGTACATAATACTTACTTGGAGCTAGGGATTCATAAATCTGATATTCAGAATTTCCCTTTCCCCCCCAAAACTACCAACCAGTCATCCATCCATCCTTAAATGTATTGAGAGTAGATAGGGCTTGAAGAGAAAAGGAAACTTACTTTTCACTCTACCTTTTATCCTTTCTGCATTTTCTACCTATTATGCTAAATCATTAAAAGCAATGATTTAGAAAGTGCTTTGGTATTTTTTGCAGCTAAGTGTTCTGCAGATGCCATGGTCTTGCATACAGGTCAGTTCCTGAGCTTAGTGTATGGCAAATACTCTTTGTGTTTCAGGACCCAGGAGCATCCAGATCTTCTCCTGCTCAGATCTCTCAAACTTAGATCTGTCTGATAAGCTGACCTGGGGGAAAATCCCCTGTCTCTGATTGGAACTGGGTTCTAAATCTGTACGCATAAGTCGGGTGCTTTGTTTGCTTTGGGTGTGTTCTGATATGATCTTGCACTGTACATGCTGTGATATATTTGTAAGATTTTTTGAGTAATGTCTGTCTCTCTCACTAGACTATCTTCTATAGGAGGGCAGGGACCTTGTTTTTTTTTTTTTTTTTTTAACTCCCTGATTTTATCCCTAATGCCTGGCACATAGTAGGAGCTCAGTATTTATTGAAAGCATAATTGTGTACTGTGTTAGTTAGCTTTTTGTCACTGTGACAAAGTACTTGAGAAAAACAACTTAGAGGAGAAAATTTATTTTTGGCTCATAGTTTCAAGTTTCAGAGAGTCAGTCTGTGGTCGTTAGGCTTAATTGTTTGGGGATGAGGTACATCAGAACATCATGGCAGAGGAAAAGAAGATAAAGGAAGAGGAGAGGAGAGGAGGGGAGGTGGGGACAAGACATAGTCCCCCAAGGACTATATCCACTACCTCCAACTAGGTTCCACCTCCTTCAGTTTCCACCACTCCCCAAAAGTCCATTCAAATTATGAATACATCAATGCATTAATCCACTGATGATGTCAGAGCCCACATTATTCAATTACTGCCCAAAAATCCGACCTCGGAACATTGCTTCATTGGCAACCAAGCCTTCATGCCTTCAACACATGAGCATTTGGGGCACATTCCAGGTCCAAACCATAAACCATCTGTATGTATGCATACTTTAGTAGCTACACTTTGTCAGTGAAGCCGAGATGACATTAGTCTTATATTCTCTGAGAATTTGAGAATTGTCCGAATGGTGTACATCTGTGTGCGTTCTGCCTGCAGTTTAAGCGCGTAAACTGGAAATCTGTGGAGACCCTTCAGAAAATATTTTAAAACATTCGTTATATGATAGATCCTGGATAAGGCCTAGAGCAAACCGGCCTTTCTTGCCTATCTTGGATTTTCGGGAGGTGAGATTTTCAGAAAGAGTAAACTGTTGATATGTTTTCCAACAGTGGAGGGATCGGTGTTGAGACAGAGGGTGGAGCCTCGCTCAAAATCTCCACCCCCCGGGGCGTCACTATTTTTTCATTCCGGAACGTTTCTTCCCCGTCCCACTAGGCTTTCCGCTCCGGAGTCATTTGAGTGAAGAGCACTTCCGGGATCGCTCGGCAAGTCGGCGTGGTTGTCGTACTCCAGCCGGTCTTTACCACCGGAGTACGGTGGCCGTGTTCGCTCTTGGCCTCACGACCCTCGTTTTCCCGGTCTCATGGCCGGCCTGACCTTGTTTGTGAGTCGCCTTCCGCCTTCAGTCCGCAGCGAGCAGCTGGAAGAGCTGTTCAGTCAGGTGGGCCCGGTGAAGCAGTGCTTCGTGGTGACTGAGAAAGGTAGGGGGCGGGACGGTCTAGGAGAGGGCTGGGGTTTTCCTGGGGACGGGATCTCTTCCAGGACACCTTTTCAAATTTCGGGGAGCTAAATTATTCTTTATACGCCCCTGAGAGAATGCACCGGGAATTGAGTTTCTTTTTCAAACTGAATGGGCTTTAGACGGGCCTATAGGATCGGTTTATGAAAGTCAGAGCCTCGTTTTAGGTTTCTGTAGCGCTTTCAGTTTATATTATGCACATTTATGTTCGTGATCTTATTTGGTAATAATGAAAATAGCAAACTTTTTTTTCCCCTTTTGGTACTTTGAACCCTGGGATTACAGGCAAGCACCACCACACCCGGCGGCAGTCAGTGGACTTTTAAGCCTTGCCCATGCTTTATTAAAAACACTGTTACCAAAATATACGTTTAACTTCTTGTCAAGTCACCAGACTTGTCTCTATAGGTGGCTGCTTTTTTGCCTTTTAGCAGAACAACTGGGAAGAAATGGTATCTTATGGACTCCCTTTTCCCCTCCGTGGTATCTGAATATGTGAATGTGTGAATTATGTGCGCTAATAACGACCCCACTTTAACTTCTGTTAATAACAGAAATTATAGTTTTGATTGTCAACATGGCTCTAATTGTTGTTCAAGTCATGGCAACTGCCTGGTTCTTTTGTCATTCTAAGATTGATATAAGTGAATAAGAGAATGAGAGTGCTATATATTAATGTTTCTTAAACTGCAGGTTATTATTCATTAGTGGGTCTTGTGTAGGTTTGACTAGAATTTTTTAAAAAATGAAGTAGAATAAAAGGAGTGCATTCATGTATGGTAAAGGATGAATATTTGGGCTGGGATATAGCTCAGTTGGTAGAGTGCTTGCCTTGCATGCACAAGTCCCTGGGTTCAATCCCCAGCACCACACACACACACAAAAAAAGGATGAATATTTGCAAAACTTTTATTTTGGTTTTATATAAAGTTCCATGTGACAGTCTTTTTAGGGAAGAACATGCTATTGACTGGGAGTTCTGCTTTGAGTCTTCAGAATATAGGCTATATATAACCACCTTAAATCTTTTGTACTTTTGTCTAAATCATTAATGACTTCTTTTATTTAAAAATTTATACACTTTCTTGTCCAGGCAGCTGGAAAATATTGGACAGAGTGCTGTAACTCAGTGGAATGGGAGGGGCGAGGGGTGAGGTTAGGTTTTCCCCAATAGTAGTGTCATGTCTCTTAGCTTCTTTAAGATGGGGTAGTTTCAAAGGGTTCTTATGAGGATTCTGAATGTATTTGAGAATGCTTTGTGTAGACATAATTATTGGGCATTGAACTCCTCCACATTTGAGATGCTTTATTTTTGGTTGTTTTCATTAGGAAGGGTCTTGATTTTTCTTGTGCTTATTCTTTGAAAGGCGAGTAGGCAGGCTTTTGGTGTGAGGGAATTCCAAGAGAAAAGAAGTGATATCCTGGTCATGGTATGCTTTCCTGTTGTTAAGTGTCAACTTTAACCAGCTTATGTGGAGCTGCATCCTGTGTTACACTGCGCATGAATCTCTGGAGGAGATTCAATTGTAGTTGAAAGGGAAGCAGAAGACAAGTTCTGTTTCTTTTGCAGGTACTGGGTGGACCTTTTTAACACAGTAAATTACTTAAAATTGTATCATGCAAACTATGTTAAACCAAAATAAACATACCAAAAAAGGGCCAAGGTGGGTTACAGTTGATTTTCATAATTATCACCTGCCTGGTCCTAATATTCTTCTCTCTGGAATCCTGTGGAAGAACATGGGGCTGGTATGGAAGCATTAATTGAGCTACTAATGTCCTGTGTGACATTCACTTGCTTTCCTCTGTCTCAGATTATTCTTTGGGAAAAGGAACTTGCTGAACCTAATTTGCATTAAAGGTTTTATTTGGTACTAAATAGCTAAGGCATTTGTAATAATGGTAATAATATCTGGAGAGCAGTGTTTATTGTTTGAGGTTCTTTTGTCAGGGCCTTAGGCATTTGTTGTTCATCTATTCTAGGCATGCACTTTACTACTGAGCTTCATCCCTGGCCCTGTTGCTGACTTATTCTAAAGAGGGACTGCAATCTTATATTCTGATTTTCAAAGTTACTGTACTTACATTTCCTACCTTCCTTGGTGATCTTTCTTCCTATTTGATATTGAGTTCTTTGGGGACCTAATGTATATCATGGGTCCTCCAAATCTTTTTTTTTTTTTTTTTTAATATACTACTGGGGATTGAACCCAAGGGTCCTCTACACTGTGTTAGATCCCCAGCCATTTTTATTTTGTATTTTGAGACAAGGTCTTGCTAAGCCCTTTAAATTAATTAATTAATTTTTTGATGGTGCTGGGGATCGAACCCAGTGCTCTACCAACTGAGCTATATCCCCAGCCTCTTTATTTTGTATTTTGAGTCAATCCTTGAACTTGTAGTCATCCTGCCTCAGACTCCTGAGTAGCTGGGATTACAGGCATGTGCCACCATGCCCAGTAGATCTTTCATACTCTTAAGATTATCAGGAAAAGGGGAAAACAGGAAATAACGGCAAAATACCAACTTAGAAAAGAAGAAGAAACTTAACAATTTCTGAGAAAGTGGGAAAGGGGTCATAGATGCCAGCCTTGTATCTTTCTTTCCTGAGACATTTGGTAAACTGATCACAAGGTTTCTGCTAGTGTAAGCTTTTTTTTCTTTTCTTTTTTTTGGTATGTTAACTGCAATTTATTATTTTTAAAAATTTGTTCTAATTAGTTATACTGACAGTAGAATGCATTTTGACATATTGTACACAAATGGAGTAGCTTAAGCCTTTGAGGATTTACTTATTAGTGTCCTTGGCTTATGATTTTCTGTCCTATTCACCCTACTCACTTTTTTTCTTGTTCCAGGGAGTAAAGTATGTCGAGGCTTTGGCTATGTCACTTTTTCCATGCCAGAAGATGTTCAGAGGGCCCTCAAGGAGATTACTACATTTGAAGGTTGCAAGATCAATGTGACTGTTGCCAAGAAAAAACTGAGGAATAAGTCCAAGGAAAAGAAGAAAAATGGTGAATTTCTAGTAATTGAAGGGAGTTTCCCCCCAGGTTGGAGAGCAGCACTATGAAAATGAAAGAGGCATAGCAGCCTTGGGTAGTCTTTAGAACTTAGAGCTCCTTGAATTTGTTTTTGATATCCAGAATCACCTGGTGTATTTTGATATTCATTTGAGTCCTTTGCTTCCCCCTCAGCTTGGAAAATCTGGTGTTCCTGGTTAATATCATGCTTAACATTGTGGTAAATGCCATCTTATTAATAGCTTTTGCCCTGTGATGTCTAACTTAGAAGTGATTAGTTTTGGAGCTTAGAGTTATTCCATGCCTTTTATATTTTTAGAAAGTTCGGAGTCCCCAAAGAAGGAACTGAAGCCTAAGAAAGCCAAAGTGGCAGATAAGAAAGCCAGATTAATTATTCGGAACCTGAGTTTTAAGGTAAGTGATAAAGAACTTAACTTAGTGCAAATACCTTCTGAAAATGTGGAAAGTGGGTTGCTGTATGTGTTCTGGAGGCAGTTGGAGCCAAGGCATGCTCACTGGTAGAGCTCCTTACAGGATGGTATAATTTGGCTTAATTCCTCCTGGGAATGAACCTCAGCCTACTAACTTGAAAAAATAGGCCTGTATTAACAATAACTTTTAAGGACATTGAATGGTAAGATGCCCTCCTTTTTGGGAAATCTGCTATGAAGGAGAGTGGAAAAACTCTGACATCTGCCTTTTTGGCCCCTTGGATACAAAGTAAGATGTCATCAATTCAGAATTGTTTTGATAACCTAGTTTCAGAAGTAAAAAAGAAATAAAATAAAAATATTCATATTATTCTTAATGAATGATCTTTGTAGTTGATGCTTCATGTTTATTTGATGAGATAAATTTCTTATTTTTCTTTCTTCACTTTTGGCTATAGTGTTCAGAAGATGACTTGAAAACAATATTTGCTCAATTTGGAGCTGTTCTGGAAGTAAATATCCCAAGGAAGCCAGGTACTAATATCAATCTTCATCTGATGTCTTTTTCCATATTGCCTTGAACCAGAAATACAAGCTTCATGTCTTACTCTTTATCAGCCCTAGATGTATATCATGGGTCCTCTATACTTTTTTTTTTTTTTTTTTTTAATGGTATTGGGGATTGAACCCAGGGGTGCTCTATACTGAGTTAGATCCTCAGCCCTTTTTATTTTGTATTTTGAGATAAGATCTTACTAATTTGCTAAACCCTTTTTATTTTGTATTTTTTTCCTTTTTTTGGTGGGACTGGGAATTGAATATGATGATAGGCTATTTATGAAATGTCTGACACAGGACTTGTCAAGTAATGAAAACCCAAGTAATAGTGCTAGTCCCTTGATGGTTTTTAGATAGATTAGGATTAATTTTAGAAGATTAGTTACTTTTGCTTTTGACTTCTTGGCTCTTCTCAAGCATGAGTCAGGGTTAACTTAACAAGAGAATATAAACTATTGCCTTTGGGAAGGGACTACCTGGCTGGTTGTTGGGATTTGGGCCATTTTGTCAGCCCAGGTTGCTCTGATCTCCTTAGTGCTTTGTGGCTCCGCACTGCTGCCTCTAAATTTTTTGTACATTTTATATAGATGGAAAGATGCGTGGTTTTGCTTTTGTTCAGTTCAAAAACCTCCTAGAAGCAGGAAAAGCTCTCAAAGGAATGAACATGAAAGAGATAAAAGGTAAGTTTTCTATAACCATACCATGACCCAGATATTTCTGGTATTTGGGTGAATTAGCACAGTAACCCACTTTCAACATTTTTTTAAAAGGTGTTTGCACTGTGGAGAGTCACTACTAGCTGTTTTGGTAAAATATTTCTAGTGCTTGATCTTGAGATTAAACTTGACAGAATACATGCTAGGATTCCTGTCTTTATTTGGTGAGAGTATCCTCTTAAATTTTTAATGAAGAATGTCCTAATCACTGATAGATGCAGGTTGGTATCTAGATTCCTCCTCTTGGTTGTGACTACTATTCAGCATTCATGGGCTATTAAACTCACTGAGGCTACTCAGGTACTGTGCCTAAGGGATTTTCTAGCTTTTGAGTAGGGTGCCCATTAGTCCAGAATGCCTGTTTTGCTACTTGCTGATTTAACTGGAAACAACATTCTAATTCTTCCTTTTTTTTTCTCCTTCATCTTTACTAAGGTGTGGTGCCTGTGATAGGCAAAATTTGTAATTTTAAAATGTTTTAAGAATTAAAAAGAGCAGCTAAAGTTCAGTCATTTCTGAACTGGTGTTTCCTTGTCTCCACTGGTTCCATTACTGTCTTTCATGGGTTGAAAGTCATATACAGGAGTAGGGATATTAAGGAGGAGGAAAGCCTTGCTGATGCCACTTTCCTATTTGACAGGGCGGACAGTGGCAGTGGACTGGGCTGTGGCAAAAGATAAATATAAAGATACAAAGACTGTTTCTGCCCCAGGTAAGGCATTGGATAGGAGGGTTGGATATCCTGGGTGAGAGTGTGAAAAAAAGTCTTGTGTTTATGCTAAAAGTATGAAGGAAACTGCTTGTCAGAGTGAGAATATTGGGCTGGAGACATCAAAAGCACAAGAGTAGGCAAAAAACCAAAACAGAGCATTCAGGAAAAACTCTGAGTTCCTTAGGCTCAGAAATGAGCCCAGGGCTTTGTGTCACTTCCTTCATATCAGACCATCTGGTGATTTGATACCAAAATAAGATCTTTTTAGTTCTAAGTCCACTCATGGGGTATGGACATGGGTGAGGAAGGGCCCGAGTTTATTGTTCCCTGTACTTGCTCTCTTTTCCCAACTTTTCATGGGAATGATGAAACTTTCAGAATAGAGAAACTTGAAACTTGAATTTCATTTAGAGAATAGTTGGTTTTTGAGCCACCAGGGTCTCAGAATAGATCTCACTGAGATTGAAGTTTATGTTTGGTCCTCTGAGTGATCATTGTGCTGAGTATAGTATATGAGTGGTGGGCTATACGGAGAGGCTGAGCTGCTGTTCTCTAATTCTAGGGCAGGTTAACCTTCAGGCTTCTGAAGATGAGACAAACTCTAGAGAAATCTGGTTGATGAGTGTTTTGTTTTTCTTTTTCTTTTTTTCCTTCCTCATAGCTTCACTTCTTATATATAATTGTCTCTTGGTACCTATGGGGGATTGGTTCCAGGATCCCCCTCAGATACCAAAATTCTGGGATGTTCAAGTTTCTTATATAAAATGGTGTAGGTTTGCATGGATTTTACAGTATCCTCCCATGTATTATAAATAATTTCCAGACTACTTTTAATACTCAGTACAGTGTAGTGCTATGTAAATAGATGTTATACTGAATTGTTTTGAGAATGATTACAGAGAAAAAAAGTATAGTTTTGATCTATGTTTCGTTGAATCTCAGGATGTGGAACCAGTAGTTATGAATGGCCTACCATACAGTCAAGAAAAATCTATGATGGGACTGGGGATGTGGCTCAAGCAGTAGCGTGCTTGCCTGTCATGCGTGCGGCCTGGTTCGATCCTCAGCACTACATACAAACAAAGATGTTGTGTCCGCCGAGAACTAAAATAAATAAATAAATATTAAAAATTCTCTCTCTAGAAAAAAAAAAAAAAGAAAAATCTATGAAATTCTGAAAAACCAAAGAACTAGGAACTTGGAGTATTAGTTGCTCCAGTTAAAACAACCTTGTTTTGGCTATTAGAGAAATTCCTAACTTTGTTTACCTTCCTCCATAGATGAGGAGAAGAGTCATAAACCTAAATGTCAGGAATCAACTAAAACGAATAGCAAGGTAGAAGAGGAAGAAGAAGAAGATGATGATCATGATGATGATGACGACAATGACGATGATGACGACGATGATGATGACAATGACGATGATGATGATGATGATGATGATGATGAAGAAGAAGAGGAGGAGGAGGAGAATAAAGAATCAAAAATGACCAATCATGTGCAAATTCAGAAGAGGTAAGCAGTGAGCCTGTTCTGAGACAATAGAGGAAGATACAGGATTGTCCCTGAGAGGGAGAATTTTCCTGTCTTCCTAAAATTGACATGCGTAATGAAGTGGAATAGCCATGAAACAACTCAGATCCTTAGGTCTGAACTATGTCATTGCAGAGCAGTCAAGAGAGCAGCTTCCGAAGAAAGTAGTGAGGAAGACCACTCTGATGAGGACAGTGACCTGGAGGAAAGAGATAGCATTGATGTTCGAGAGGGATTGGCACAGAGTGATAGCAGTGCTGAAGAAAAAGAGGATGAAGGTTTGCTTGGATCTTCATAAATAATAAGTTATTGAGACATGTTACATAATTTCTGCCCCGGTCTCTTTAAATAGGACCCTAAGTTGTTCAACCAAATTTATGTTTAAATGCTGAAAAGGAAACCTTTATGTTCCTTTCTTTTTAAGGTTTTTTTTTGCTTGACATTTAATTTTTGTTTGTTTTCAAAATGAATTTAAAGTGGTGTTTGAGGATTAGGACTCTTTCCTGGGCAATTTAAAACCTAGTTTAATACAGAGATACTAAAGTCTTCATTGTCCAAATTGAATAAATAACTGGATAAATAGGATATATTGCATGTCAATACCAAAGTGGTGTCAAACAACCTTTTTTTGAGTTGAGATGGGATAAATGACTGAATAATGAACTCAGGCTGCCATGGCAAAGTACCATAGACTGGGAAGCTTAAACATGAGATTTATTTTCTCACAAGTTCCAGATCAAGGTGCTGAGTGATTTAGTCCCTGGAGAGGTTCTCTTCCTGGCTTGTAAAGAGCTGCCGTCTCACTGTGGCCTCATATAGCCTTTCCCTGTGTGCTTCAATGTGGGGAGAGAGAAAATGAGTTCTGATCTTTCTTCCACTTCTTATAAGGATACTAAACCTATTGAATGTCCTCACTTAGCTTTAATTAACTCCCCAAAGTCCCTATTTCCCAATACAATCACATTGGGTATTAGGGCTTCAGTGTATGAATTTTGGAGGGACACAGTTCAGTTCATGTTAAGGACCTCTGCAAGCATTTTGTAAAACTGTTACAAATCCCTATTGCTACCTTGATTGAGAGTTAACTCATTTATTGAGGAAGGCAAGTCATTATAGAAAAAGAAATGACCAAGAACTGGACCTTTGGCTTGTCTAGTTGGACATTTTTATTCAGCTCTGTGACTTCCATATTGGTTTGAGCATATGAGAAATCAGAGGAAACAAGATTTTCTATGAGGTTGGAATGGTAGCCACTTTAGAATTGAAGCTTTTATACTGAAAGGACCATGAGACTCTGCGTCCTACATCCCAGATTCAGCTGTCTCTGACCATTCTTTCACCTGAAAAACTTACAGGACTAATCTATGATAATGAGAGCAAGCCAGAAAATACAGTATAGAAGAGTGTAATGTGGAAAGTAAAGTTCTTCAACAGTCCTCCTAATAATTCCCCAAAGTAACAACTGTTGTTTCTTGTATAATTGTCTGGAAATTTCCTGTGTACACACAAGTATATATGTTTATTCTTCAAAATAAGTATTGAATATCCCTTATATCTAGATCCCCAGACTCTCAGGGCACACCCCCAGAGACAACCAGTGTTACGTTTCTAATGGATCTAGAGAACATTGTAACATAGTTATAAGCAAAAACACAGACATTCTCTCACACACACACACAAAATATAATATGTTTATGTGTATGTTTTCTCCTTAAAGATCCTACATGTTTGGGACTGGGGTTGTGGCTCACTGGCAGAGCACTTGCCTAGCATGTGTGAGGCACTGAGTTCTATCCTAAGCACCACATATAAATAAATAAATAATAAAGGTACATCAACATCTAAAAATTATTTAAAAAAAGAAAAAGATCCTCCATGTTTTATATTTCCAGAAAATGTACATTATCACAGCCTTATATAGGAATGTATTTTTCTCACATCTGCACTACGTTGGATTCCATGTCTTTTTGATTTTGCCAATCTGTGGGTGAAAGTAGTCTTTCATTTCTTGTGCAGTTTCTCTTCTCTTTTCTTGTGTTGGAGATTAAACCCAGGGCCTTGTACATGCTAAACACATGCTCTACCATTGAGCTACATCCCTGCCCCTTTGCTATATTTTTCCTTAATTTTGAGTTTGAGCATCTTTTCATATATTTAGCTGCATATCTTTTGTTCACCTTTAAATTTTTTTTATTAATTTATTCAAGATCTTTACATATTTAAGAAGTTAGCCCTTTGTTATATGGCTTGCACCTGTATAGTCTTTTAAAATTAAACCTTAATCACTACTCATTTTTCTTTTTACCTTAGATATACACGTCTCAAAGAAAAAGAAGAGAAAATTACCCTCTGATGTGAGTGAAGGCAAAACTGTTTTTATCAGGTATGCTTTCTACCTAGAGAACTGTTGTTTTCATTGCCTTGACAGATTTCCTTTCTTCCTTTTTTTTTCCCTCTCTCTTCTCCCACTTACCCAACTCTTCTCCCCACTTCTTCTTTTTACCTCTCTTTCTTCTTTCTCCTCCATCCCATCTTCCCCTCCCATCCTGCTCCCTCCTGTGCTTGCTTCCTTTGGGCATATTCATGTTACCAAGCCCAGAAAGTTACATGCTATTAGATCATTAGCACATCACATCTGATTCTGGGAATGTACCAAACAATGGGACATACAGGAGAATCAGAACTAAAAAGCAGAAAGTAAGGAGTGACAGGGGTCCAGATATTTTGTCCTCTTTAGATTTCATTCTTTGTAATTTGGGTGGCATTATTTGGAACAAATTAGCATCTCAACTGTTAGGAACATCTTGGTTCTGGCCTTTGTTTTAGAGGGAGTACTGGGGTGACACACTTGTCACAAATGATTTTTCTCTCCATACTACCTTACCTTTTAAAGCAGTGTCCAGAATAAGTAAGACATGTTGTTTCCAAAAAATGTGGTGGTGTGGGATGAGGGTAGAACTTGGTCTTATTGCACATTTGTTGTTGCTATTTCAGCCCTACCAACAGTAGATTGAAGTTTTTATAGTTCAGGATATCTTCAGTTCACCTCAAGCATGTCTTCTAGTCCTTTCCTTAGTTCTAGTGCACTAGGCTCATTTGGGTCTACTTTTAGAAGTATGTATTTTATTCTCCTGTATAGTCTTTTAATATTGTTTTTGTTATGTAGGTAACTTATATGTTCATTGTAGAATATTTGGCAAATACATGAGCAGGTAGAAAAAAAAATTAAACCTTAATCACTACTCGGAAATCATCCCTACAGATGCCACATAAATATTTTTACAAAGATGAGTTTGGCCAAAACAGGCTATTTCCCATTTCATGCTTAATAGTAATTTATGTTACAATTATATCTTTCCATAGTTTTTCCATTTTTTTTAAACTGCAAAATTTGGAACTTCCATGTAAATAATTTTGTATTACAGAAATGCGAAAAGTTACATTCAGGAGCCTGTGACCTCAATACCAAGGATTCCATTACTTTTCTGTATGTGTTTTAGTTAATAACTTAGGGAAATAAAGGGGTGAAATAGGATGTAAAGGGGTTGGATATACACGATGAAGCAAATTAGAAGAAATAATATAGATATATCCTCTAAATATCTTATTATAGAAAACTTCTATTTATCTGATTATCCCATAAACTAGAATTAGTTATGGGGTTATTTATTGAGTATAAGCAAAGTAAAATTGTTGTAATTACTAGGAGTTATTTTTCATAACCCTGGAAGGATGTACATAGCTGGAGAGATGCGGAATCTTTATAGTATATCAAAATTTAGGAGAACAGAATCTTCCAGCATTTGTAATTCCATCAGAAGAAATAAGTACAGGTTGAGTATTCCTCATCTAAAATGCACAGAACCAGAAGTGTTAAAAAAGATTTGAGTTTTTCAGATTTTAGAATGTTTGCATACATTTTACCAGTTTAGTGTCTGTCTCTAATCCAAAAGTCCAAAATCCAGAGTCCAGAAGTTTTTGAGCATCATGTCAGTGCTCAGAAAGTTAATTGGTATTTGGATTAGAGATGCTAAACATGTAATTATTTATTTTTTTGCACTTAGCTAGTAGACTTTATTATATTTCTGTTTCTGTTATTATGAAGGATTTTCTGACTTTTATAGAATTTTAATAGAAACCTAGATTTCATAGAAACACAGAAGAAAAAACTGTCTAATCTGGGGTGAGAGGGACAGAACTTTTTCTCATTAGACTGCTGTAGTAAGAGAAACTTTGGTTGTAGTAAGAGAAACTCATTTTGGCCATCCTGAGTGAAAAAGAGTTTGTGGGATAAACACAAGGGTGGCTTATAGAATCAAAGTTGTCAAAGAGTGGACCTCAAGAAGCTGATGAGAATCTGGGTAATTCTAGGACCCTGCTGCTGGTGTCTGTGGGTCTTTATTATAGCAACACTGCCTTTTTTTTTTTTTTTTTTGGAATAGGTATAACATGTTATGTAAAGTACATTACTAGTAAGTGAAAATTTTCACATGTATATATTTGTGCAACCACCACCTAGATCACTTTGTAGAAGATTTCTAGTACCTTGGAAGTCTTGGTTGGGATACTGCTATTCTGAATAGAATTCAAGTCTTTGTATATGTCTATTTAAGTTTCATACTCTGCTAGAGAATCTGATTGATATAAGAAAGTCCCTTGGGACCAAGGGGCAGAGTCATATTGCAGAAGCCTGATTATTGGAGTCCACCCCTTCTGTATTGGTGCTATTTCTGAACAAGGAAGAGTGGTTGTGAGCAGTTGTGTTCATATTTTTTCCCCCATGGACAAAAGCAATTCTCTGAGCCTCTCATTCACACAAGTGAGGAAACTGCCAGAGAGGCACTAGAGGCAAGGGCCCAGACCTTCTCCCCTTCTCTGCTCCTCTCTCCCCGCCCCCTCCTTCTCTCCCTCCCTCTTTCCCCCTATAAATGTCTAATTCATTTACTTTGTAGTGGAACACAGATCTCACTTTGTAATTGACCTTTCTTGTGACCTTCTGGTTGTCTTCGTAGAAACCTGTCCTTTGACTCAGAGGAAGAAGAACTTGGAGAGCTCCTCCAGCAATTTGGAGATCTTAAATATGTCCGCATTGTCTTGCATCCAGACACAGAACATTCTAAAGGTATTTGCCACCAGCTGGCCATTGCCATGGATGTTGACTGGTCACATGAAGGCATAATGTGTACCATTCTGAGGTGTCCACAGTCTGTTCTGCCTCTGGCTTCCTTAAGCCCAGGGATGTTCTGAAGTTATCTTCCATGATGTCAAACAGTAGCTTTAATGGTGCTGCCAGCCATAATTTTATATAAGCTTTTTAAGCCCTTGCTTATTTACTTTAGGGTAATGAATTCCATTTGTTGTTCTCCTTTGAATTTCAAAAATGATAAATCTCATGGGTATTTATCATTCCACGTTGCTTGAAAGTACAGCGCCCCCTTCTTTTGTTAGAAATGGAAGCTGACAGAGAAACTTTGTTGCATGGCAACAATCAGAAAGAAAACTATGTAGCAGGAGTGCTGCCTGAGATTTTTTTTCCCCTGAAATTATGTTGTGCTCCAAAGGTTAACCTCTTATTGTAGTATATCACTGTTAAATAAGGATTTTCAGCCCATTCTGATCTTTGTCTTCTTGGATTGCATTTGTTCTTCTAAAGCACTGGATTCCTTTGAGATCTAGCAAAAGATAGAAACCCTCCAGAAAAATGCTGCTTCTAAGTGTGTGGGCTCTTTAGAAATTATCCATAGATTAAGAATATGTAGTCTAAACCTTATTTTCCAAATTGATAAGACTATCATTTTTTAAATTTTTACTCAGAAAAAGAAATATAAATATGTCAGAACTAAACAGCTTTCTGGAGATTAGGAATATAATCCCAACCATGCACAGATGAGTTGGGTGATTCCTGCCCCTCACCCCCATCCAATCTGGGTGATTTTGGGCAAATCATTTAACTACTGTGGGCTTTATTTTTTTCTTTTAATCTGTAAAATGAATGGGTTCAACTATAATAACCACTTAGGTATCTTCTGCCTAATATTCAATTATTCTTCTTGGACCTTCTTCATTGCCAGTGTTTTTCTAAAAATGGGCAGCTAGAGTTACTTAGAATATTCCAAACATGGGTATGATATTGCTTTACTTTTATGATATTCAATATCTTTTACCCCTTCTTGAGTGCACTAGTATATTGGGTTGATATTTTCAGAATGTAGTTTACATTTGATTTACTATATGTCTTTTGGGCGTGCTGAGAGCCATAGCCAAGTAGGAATGACGCATGGCATTTTTGCCTGGCTGTTTGTGGTAGGTGAGCTCCCTGCTGGTTAAGCAGAACCACCATTTCTTGAAATTCTTTTTTCCAATTCGAGTTCTTCCCTGAGCTCTTTTATTCATTTCACCTTCTTTCAGTGCACAGGCTCGCTTGTACCACTGGACTCTTTAGTTTCAGTCGAAATTTCATCCAAGAACTTTTTAACTGCTATAATATATCCTTTTTCTTGAAACATTTTGAAAAATTCACACATGAATGTCTCTTTGAAACTTGAATTGCTTTTGGAAAGGCTCCCCCAGCTTCCCAAAGTTTGAATGGTTTTTGAGATGAGAGTTAATGTCCTAATTGTGCATCTGGATGATGAGGTCGCAGATGAAAAGTATGAGGTGATACTACGGCTACAGCAAAGAAACGAAGAAATACAAAGCTGCTCACTGCAGAGTACTGAACATGAGGGTCATTAGGAAATCTCTGAGTAGCCATTTGCCTTAGAGAATAAAAGATATCACACATTACAGTGGGGCAGCTCATACTTGATCTTACAATTGTACTAAATAACTTGTCCACATAGTAACGCAGATTTTCCTTATTGTTTTCTACATTATCTCCCTCTTTCAATTTAATAGGATCAATTTCACAGGATTTTGAGGATTCACATATCTCATCTAGAGTAGATTTTAAGGTTACTTTCAGGTAGTGCCCTCCCACTATTTTCATCATCTCATCCAGACATCGGGTAGCCAGAGAGTTTTCTCCAAAAATTGTGTTTGCATCTTGGGTATCCTTCAAGTTTAATTCCGCCACTGCTGTGACAAAAGGAACAAGTTTATCATGGTTCAGCAGCAATCGTACAAGAGGCAAAACTGCATCATTTTTATCTCGACATATTTCACCCAAAATGTAAGCAGCTGAGGCAGATGTTGGCTGAACATCTGGTGATTTTAGCAGCAAAGTTTTCAAAGGACCATAGTACTCTGAAGGAAGCACATAGGATGCATTGTGAACTATCTGTTGGTGCAGTGAATTGTGGTAGTGCTGGAGTATCTTTGCTGATGGTGTCACCTGTGGTACAATTTTTCCAAAGGAGCCGTCATTTGGCTTGTTGTCATTTGGCTTGGTGTCGTGGCGTTCTGGATCCTCCTCCCTTCTGCTAGTGATGGTCTAAAATTTGGGGGCCAACAGAGGTGAGGCAAAGAACCTCACCCCCCCCCCACTGGCACCAAGGCCAAATTTGGGGGCCAACAAAGGTGAGACAAAGAACCTCACCCCCCCACTGGCAAAGGTCAAATTTGGGGCCAACAGAGGTGAGGCAAAGAACCTCATCCCCCCACTGGTGCATAGGCCTATCCACAAGTATGGCTGTATGCTAGACCGGTAGTCAGTGATGGGTAAGATCCAATTGCAGTGGTACCAACCTAAGACAGGAGGCTGACGCCTTGAGGTCAGCTCATCCGATGATGGGTAAGGACCATATGTAGTATTGGACAGCCTAATAGACATGGTCCCTAAGCCACATGCTTGGTGTTTAATTAAACAGAGGGGGGAGATGCTGAGAGCCATAGCCGAGTGACCAGAATGGTATGGTTGAGAGGTGAGGCCAGCATGCCATTGAGATGATAATGGTTATGTTAAGCTGTGTATTCAATTGTATATTAGACCCCTGCTGTCCCCCTAGGCCTGCTACTTTGGAGTGGGGATTCCTGGGAGAGTTCCCATTGGTTGGGGAAGTGCCGGAGGAGGGATTTCTGGTTGGTGTGGTGTGTCCTGGGAGAAGGCCGTGTGCATGGTGTTCTCAGGAGTGCGGAGAATAAAGGAGTTCCTGTTTTGAAACTACAAGGCTTTGTGGCTGCTCTGTTATTTTGTGCCCAGCCAGACTGCGGCATGGGCTATTAAAGTTAACAGAATTAATGATCTTAAAAGCATAATTTTAATTTTTTTTCTTAATGTATTATCTTTTCCTAACTCATATTAAATTTTTCTGACATCTATTTTGCCTACTCAGGCAAACTTGTGCTCCTCCTGCAGTGTATCCCCTTCAGCATGCCATTTCATTGTCTAGAAGAGCTAAATATTATCTGTAAATATTATCTGAAATGTTAAGACTGAACCCAGTACTGACCCTGGAAATTTTAATGATAAAATCCTTATTAAGGGAGAAGTACTAGGCTGGGTCTATAGCTCAGTGGCATAGTGCTTGCCTACCATGTGTGAGGTACTGACTTCGATCCTTAGCACCACATAAAAATAAACGTAAAGTAAAGGCATTCTATCTATAACTATAAAAAAATTAAAAAAAAAAAAAAAGAGAAGTACTGTCAGGTGTAGTGACACACTTGTAATCCCAGTGGCTTGGGAAGCTGAGGATTGCACATTCAAAGCCAGCTTCAGCAACTTAGCAAGGCCCTGAGCAACTTAATGAGACTCTGTCTCAAAATTTTAAAAAAGGATGGGGGTGGCTGATGATGTGGCCAGTGGTTAAGTGAGAGAGAGAGAGAGAAAATACTCATTTTCTTTAAATTGGTTGGTTAGGTAATATGCCTGTTAGAAATCTTTCCCTCTGTATTTCTTTCTTTTATTATACTTGTTCTATAGTACCAATGGGGGATTAGTTCTAGGACCATGGCGTATACCAGAATCTGTAGCTACTTAAGTTTCTTATTAAAAAAATGACGTTGGGGCTGGGGATGTGGCTCAAGTAGTAGCGCGCTCGCCTGGCATGCACGGGGCACTGGGTTCGCTCCTCAGCACCACATAAAAATAAAATAAAGATGTTGTGTCCACTGAAAACTAAAAAATAAATATGAAAAAGTTCTCTCTCTCTCTAAAAAAAAGATGTAGTCTTTGCATACAATCTGTATATTGTAGTATTTGCATCCTCTGTATTTTGTAAATTATCTATAGTTTAGTTGTAATACCTAATATAATGTGAATAGTTGTTAAACTTTATTATTTAGGGAACGGCAAGCAAAAAAAGTCTGTGTTCAGTATAGACATTTTTTCCCCCCAAATATTTTCGTTTCTTCTTGGTCAGTTGACTCCACTGATGTGGAATTCGTGATGCAGAGGTCCAACTGTGTTTGTTATTTTGTTGGGTATTTATTCATACTGTACACTAAGGTGGTGGTTCTTAGTCCTGAGATATTCACTGTGTTTGGCAAGATACCCCCTGACCAATGCTGTAAGAGAGAGATGAGTGGAGGACAGGAGCGGGTGGGGACACAGAAGTAGGAGCAATCAGCCTTGTCTGGAGCAGGCAGAGACAGCCTCACTGAATGGTGACCCTTGGGTTGGCTTGCCATTTGTGTCCTTTCGGTTAGTTTGCTACCATTTATTCCTGTCACAGGCAGAAGATAATGCCCCAGTAGTTCTAGGAAATATGGGAGTGTTTTCATATATGGAGAATATTTAAAGTTTAAAAAGTGCTAACAAAATATAAAGACTGTATCTCTTTTTCTTTGCTTATAAAAAGCTGCTTTATGTCAATAGTAGAAATTTGGGCTGATGGCCCTTCGTCTATCCAGTGAAAGTACTTTATGGTGATTCTAGAGCATAAACCAAGAATTGAGCTTCTGGATTCTGGTTTCTTGGGATATTCATGTTATGGAGGCCTTTTTTACCCCAGGAGGTAGATCTGATTCCTCTCAAGTGACTGAGACAGTGAGATGTAATTAATTTCAGGGCTAAGTGGTTCCTGCTTCATCTTTTAGTCCTCTGATAGACTCTCAGTAAGTACAGCTGAGTTAAATATTTACCTGAAATTTCTCTATCATTTTATGTGGATATTATTAAGGAGAAAAGTGTTGAGACTAAAGTTCTAAGATGAAGGGAGTAATAAAGTTTTATTGAGAGGAGTAGGTGTGCTCTCGTATTCGATTTTGACCTTCACTGCCTCTTGGTACTTAATAAATGGATTCTACTTCTTCCTCCCTTTTTGTGCCAGGCTGTGGCCATTTGCATTATTGTCTTTGGTTTACTGGTGGGCTATGAGAGTTTGTGATTTCATTTAATTTTGTGTCTTTGTGCAGGTTGTGCATTTGCCCAGTTCATGACTCAGGAAGCAGCTCAGAAATGCCTTGCAGCTGCTTCTCCAGAGACTGAGGTAAGGAAAGCTTTTCTTTTACCCCATAATGTAGGAGAGAGTGATTCCTAGGGGCAAGATCTGGTGTTTACACAAAGTTTCATTATTTTTGTTAATGATGCTGCTGCTGATAAACTAGCACTTGGTGCGTGTTAGGCACTGAACTTTACATGCATTACCTTATTTAATCATTGTGTCAGCCCCATTAGGTAAATAGGAATATTATCCGTATTTCTTGGGCAAGGAAACAGGTATAATAATTTCTCTAATGTTTATCAATTGCTGTCTATGTGGCCTCTATCCTAGGCTGATAACATGATGTGACATGAAGGTATTAAGACAATCTGTGAAGTGGAATACATATTTGAGAAAGTGTGTGGATGATTGAGAATTTTTCTCTGTTATGTAACCAAGTATATATTGTTTTGAGATAAAGTTATCCTGTATTGCCATTATCCCTTATATTTTCTAGTTACTACCATTTTACTAACTTTCTTTAGAATACTAAAAATAAACCTGATTGCAGATCATTTTACTCTATTTTGGCCTACTTTGGAATTAATCATCTCCCCTAAAGTAAATCCTTTACTGGTGACTGCCCTCAGTACACACATGACCTTTTGCTTAGCTATACTAAATATTATGAGGGTCAGGGATCCACTTGTGGACAGCTGGGATGAAACATCCTGGGACTTGACTTCCACAATATAATTGGGGTTTTCTGATTCCCTTTCCTTGGTGTTCCTTGTCAGGTGCTCAGTTTCTGCTTGTTGTGTATTTGAAGAGAGGGTTACAATCTGTTACAGGGTGGTGGCCTTAAGCTGGGTGGCCGGCAGCTCAAGGTTGACTTGGCTGTGACCCGTGATGAGGCTGCAAAGCTTCAGACAAAGAAGGTGAAGAAGCCAACTGGAACCCGGAACCTCTACTTGGCCCGAGAAGGCTGTGAGTAGTGGAAAGGAGATGTGAACTAGGCTTCTGAGTAGCTGGCTCCATGCCATGACATAATCCAACAATTGTATTTTGGTGCATATTAAAAAAAAAATTTCTTCTTAATTGTATTGTCATTCCACCTTACTAGTTGTGGCTTTCTGTTAGAAAAACTTCACCCAATTTTTAAATTAACTGATCCCATTCTTTTTTCTGCCTGATTGCCTTTAGACGGTTGGTTTTTTTTTTTTTTTTGTACTGGGGATTGAACTCAGGGATACTCAAACATTGAGCCACATCCCCACTCCTATTTTGTATTTTATTTAGAGACAGGGTCTCACTGAATTTCTTGGTGTCTTGCATTTGCTGAGGCAGGCTTTGAACTCACGATCCTCCTGCCTCAGCCTGGGATTATACATGTGCACCACTGCGCCTGGCCTTTAGACTTTCTTGATGGAAGATTGGCAAGTCAAAGAGGGAGGAAAAACTTAAAACTATCTTTGATTCTTGACATCATTTCTTTTATTTTTTTAGATGCTAGGAATTGAGTCTTACACATGCTAGGCAAGCACTGTGCCAGTGAGCTATATCCCTAACCCCTTGCCATCATTTTTTTTTTTTTTTGAGAGAGACAAATTTTTTTTAATATTTATTTTTTAGTTTTCGTTGGACACAACATCTTTTTATTTTTTTATGTGGTGCTGAGGATCGAACCCAGCGCCCCGCACATGCCAGGCTAGTGCGCTACCGCTTGAGCCACATCCCCAGCCCCCCTTATCATCATTTTTAACAAGAGGTGTTCTGAAGGCGTTGAAAATTATGACTAATTGCTCTTTTGGATTATTCATGGATTTAAAGTGGGCATCTAGTACCTTTCCTTAATATCAGGAAGGTAACCAGAAATTAGCATAAGTTAAAAAAAATCCTTTTTTCTAGGTCACATGGTATTTATCAGCTTGCTTCCTGCATAGTCTCAACTAGTAGCCTTTGATCCTAGACCTCTATAACAACGGATGTGTTCTCTAGTCTGACTTATCTCAGTGCTGAGTGATGGCCCCTGGTACATGAGAGGCAGCTAAGTTTAAGGGGCTGGTTATAGGTGGTACATTCATAATCCTTACATTGTACTTATTTTCAGAACTTTCTCCAGGTTTTTCGGTTAGTATTGTGCCTATATATGAAACTTCTTTGAAGGGAGAAAAGGAAGAGAACAAAGTCACAAAATATTGAGAGTTTTAGTCCTTAAGAGTAGCTCTAAGTCCAGAACTTAGCCCTGTAGCCTATTTTTGGACCTGACCAAATGATAACATGTTCTGGCCAGCACAGTCCTCTGGGCCCTGTACAGAGTTTGCATCATTCAAATCACATTCCTCCTGTTGCTCAGTGAAAATTCCCTTGGTGATATCTTGGCCTTTTTTCCTCTTTCTGCAGTGATCCGTGCTGGGACGAAGGCAGCCGAGGGTGTGAGTGCTGCTGATATGGCCAAACGAGAACGGGTAAGCAAATTAGGCACCAGCCTACTTTTAAGGCTCCATGGTTTAAAGTCGGTCAAAAACAATTATTAGATGCAGTATTATATGCCATTATAATAACTGAATCTTATTTTTGTTTTCCTAGTTTTTCATCAGTAAGCATCTGCTAAGAAGTTCACTGCTGGATCATGCAGTAGACATGTAAAGGCTAGGACTATGTATAATTGTAAATGTAGAGTAGCATCAGAAAGGAAGAGCTATATAGGTTAGAGTATTAGGATGGGGGAGATGTGGGTTTGAAAGGAGCAGCTAAGATGTCATTGGGGAAGGGGTGATAACTCCAGTTTATAAAATTGTTGTAGTAAAATTCTATATTATAGGAGTTTCCACTGTTAACTGATAGCTGATGTTATGGCACATGCCTGTCATTCCAGCAGCTCCTGAGGCTAAGGCAGGAGGATCACAAGTTCAAGGCCAGCCCTAGCAATTTAGCAATATCCCATCTCAAAAAAGGGCTGGGGATGTGGTTCAGAGCCTCTAGGTTCAATCTCCTATAAACTGCCTCCCCCCCAAGAAAAACCATAACTGTTAACAGCATTAACTGTGAGACCTTAAAGTTTGGGAAATAATGAACAGAGGTAAGGATATAATGACAACCAGGAACATTGTTTCTTTTTTTCAGTGTGCACAGGTTTTATACTAGTGTTCAGTTTCTTTTGTAGTGAACATCAAGAAATCTTGGTATTTGAGGGAACATGGTGTGCCCTTTTCTGACTAAAATGCAATGATGACATATTGAATTTTAGAGCTAATTTTGAAAATTAGCTCTAAATCCAGTGAAAAGTTCACTGGATTATGTGTAGTAATTATAAATTCACAGCAGGCACAGCTTTTCCTGGGAGAAAAATAGTCTGTTGAACTTAGACATGATAGCCTCTTCAGATGTCCCTTTAGTATTCATTTTCAAAGTATTTGTTTATTTTGCAACTTGTATATACCTTTACCAAACAAGGAGCAGCAGGACTGAGAAGACTTGATAAAAGAGAAAAAAATTAACCGAGAGCTTTTTATCCTATTAACCTAGTTTAAAAAAAAACAAACTAGCAGAAGAATGTCATCCTTCATTTTGTTTCTTAGGCAGGTCACCCAGGGAACCGCTGTTTCTGGCAGTGTAGTTGAGGGAATTGCCTCTAGAGCGGAATTTGATTTTGTGGTCATGGATGTGTCTTTGCCTCAGGGTGGCAGAGTTGAGTCAAGACACTGTTCTATGCTTTAAATAAGTCCTATTTCTTTTTGGAAGGAAGCTCCAGATAATTAGTTTGAGTTAGTGGGTAGATGAGCACTGGGCATAAACATTAGCCACAATATTCATTCTTTTTGCTCTGGGCAATATTTTGAAACAGGGATTTGTATGTGTGTGTGTAAGTAATCTAATTTTGGTCTCATGTTAGTACTGAGAGACAGACTATATTTTATCTGCAGTTCCATTTTGTGAATGAAAAATTGAGTCTTGAAAATTTCATGTTTTTTCTGCAGTTGGACAGCTTTCTAGTTCAGATCTGATTCCAGAGCCCATGATCTTTCCACTACCTACCCACTGTCTAACCTCCTTAAACCTTTCTTTTCTTGTGCTGGTTATTAAAAGGCTTTAAGGTTGTTAGTTTTCTTTCTTTTTCTATATGTGATTTTGGGATGAGGATCATGGTTCTTTCCATCTATAGAATTTATGTCTGCCTTTTTAAAGGATGGGTTCTACTATTAACAATTTGTAATTTTTTTAGTTTGAACTACTGAAACATCAGAAACTCAAGGACCAGAATATCTTTGTTTCCCGGACCAGGCTTTGCCTGCACAATCTCCCAAAGGCTGTGGATGACAAATGGCTCAGGAAACTGCTGCTGAATGCCACTAGAGGAGAGAAGGGGGTGCGCATCAAGGAGGTGAGAGTTGCCCCATGCATTCAGAACTTCCATTCTCATCCTGGGTTTATTAACTGTGTATTTCTGGCTAGGATTCTGACATATTAACAGATTTTCTTTTTAACACAGTGTCAGCATGTAACACTGGATTCAGCAGTCATTTTTGTTTTGTCTGTCTTATGAGAACTGTCTTCCATCTGACCAAATTACAGCAGAATGTGAGGAAGTCTCTATCCTCGTGAATTAATTTAGCAAGCATTTATTAAATGCCTGCTATGTATTCAGCATCATACTGGGTGCTGTATTGTGAATTTTCTTGCAGAGAAAATAATTTTTGTGCTTTGCTCTTTAGAAGAGCATTTTATTTCTAATTAGGGTCTTACTCAATGGAAAGAGCCCCTAGTACCCCATGTTGAGCAGAGGGGCCATGCATGTCTTCAATAGTTCATACTAGGTCTTGGTTCAACTCCACATGAGTGCTGAATCCTCTCCTCTGTGTCTCTTTCATAGGACTTACTGTTAACACTGGCCTGAAAAACCAGACTGAACTCTTCGAGAGCTACTGTTATTATCCCCAATCCTTGGTATAGCACATAATAATTTTTCATTAGTATTTATTTTAAAAGTACCACGGCCAATATTTGGGGTCTGCTTTGCTCTGTTTTATCACCATAAACTGTTTTAAGCACTGAAATCCTCTTTAAAATGTATATGTTGATATTAGGAAATGATGTGAGAAAGTGTGAATATATCAGCATATATCTCACCAACATTCCTAGTAAAACTGCTAGAAGTGTTACTGGCTTAGGGTCCATGCCAGTAACCTCTCATCAACTTCCACAATACTTAGTGTCTATTTAAAACCTGTGAGAATGTAGCAAAATCTCTGTATTCTATAATGTGTGCATTATATTGGATTTTTCTCTTTATTTTTTGGTTTATATAAGTATAGTGATTCAGTAAGACATTAAGCATCTTGAGGACAGGAACTCATTGTATACTTCTCTTGATTCCCCACTGGTGCACACAATAGTATCTAGACACACAGTGGATACTGAACAAAAATCAAATATAGACTCCATGTGTTCCCAATACTTAGACTTCTCCGTTTTAAGGGAATGACAGCTTTCAGGAGTAATTGAATATAAATGGTCAGTTTTCTCATTATATCCTACCATACCTCAGTGGTCCAGTACTTACCACATCTTGCTTAAGAATTTGGGGAAAAAAGAGGATCTGATTTTGAGCAGAGAGCTGAAACTTCTTTCTGTATTTCTGAGTCTAGAAGTTGGAAGGCTCGCTCTCATACCAGAAATGTCTTTCTCACCCAAAGCCACTGGCCTTCCCTCCTTCTTTCAATAAGTCCCTTCCTGGGCCTTGCTTTAGTGATGAGATCTATGGACAGTTTTCCATCCACAGTGATAAATTGTTATACAGTGTGGAGTGCCATATGCCTCTCAGCTTGTATATATTGTGAATAGTTAACTGCTATAAACTTGCCTTGGCAAGTTTTATTGTATTTATGTGCTTATTTATGGGTCTGTGTTGATGTCTATAAATTCTTAGTAAACAGGAAAATAATCTGCTCTCAGTGGGTGTATTCTAATTAGATGGACACTTAGAAATATTATTTTAGTATGTTTTTTATGATGGTAGCATAAATGAAGATTCTCTTTTTATAAACTGATTTTCTTCTTTTTTGTGTGTTTTGCTGGGGATTGAACTCTGCCTTCATGCTAAACAAGCACTGTACTGATCCATATTCCCAGGCCATAAGCTCATTTCTTATTGATTTTGTTAAAGCAGTTTATGTCAGGCAAGGCTTATCATTAAGTAATTGCTGTTTCTTTTTCTCATTCTACTCATAGTGTAGAGTGATGCGAGACCTTAAAGGAGTTCATGGAAAAACAAAGGTCCAGTCCCTGGGCTATGCCTTTGCAGAGTTCCAGGAGCACGAGCATGCTCTGAGAGCCCTCCGCCACATCAACAACAATCCAGAAATCTTTGGGACTCAAAAGGTAAGCCTCATCCTTCAGAGAGACTTGTTTCCTTGGAGCCACCTGTGGAAAAGAATAGCTAGTGGATGGGGTGGAGGAGGAGATATGAGTGGTTATTCCAGGTGGTAAAATGATTATAAGGAGCTCTAAAATGGATAGACTGCTTGCAGACTGGCTCCTTACCTTTAAGTAGAGCTAGTGAGTAGTAATCTCTGGTTTGTGGGGGTAGGTACTTACTCACAGATCAAAGTCTAAATTTGCACTGGGTTCAATCCCCAGCACCCCACTCTACCCACCCCACCCCCCAAAAAAGTTTAATGAATGTTGTTCTTGTCTCTTTCTGTCACAGAGACCAATAGTGGAGTTCTCTTTGGAAGATCGAAGGAAACTTAAAATAAAGGAACTAAGGATCCAGCGCAGTCTGGTAAAAAAAAAACTTAATATTTTTTATAAGGACATAGTTATTTAAACTTAAAATTTCTTCAGTTTGTGCTTCTGCTCCCTTAGAGCAATTCTCAGCCCAATTAAGGTTATTCACCCTTTACTTTCAATTCCCTAAGGCTCTTTAGGCCATTTTCTCCTCTGCTGGCTGTCTTGTGATAGCTCCATAGATAAAGGGAGGATGGAGGAAGCAGTCAATAGTTTGTGTATAGGTTTGTGTGGGACATGTCAAACGTAATGGATGTTGTTATGGTTTTACATTAATGTAGGTTTCAGTGTCCCTTCTAGAATTCTTTTTTCTTAGATAGCTCCAGAAACATGATGCCTGCTAGTTTTAGAACTTTTTTTTTTTTTTTTTGTGGTGCTAGGGATTGAACCCAGGGCCTTGTGCATGTGAGGCAAGTACTCTACTAACTGAGCTATACCCCAGTCTCTTTAGAACTGTTTTTAATCTAGCATGGTAAATGGAAAATAGAGATTTTGGGAAGTTTGAACTTGTGTTCAAACTCTAGTTTTGCTTCTTTCTTGCTATATATTCCTTGGTAAGTTATTATCACTCAGAATCTCATTTTGTAAAATGGGTTGACAATATCTGCCTCACTTGGCTGTGAGGATTAAATGAGATGACACTTGTCATTGCCTACCTTACTGCATTGTCATTTTCCTGCCCATCTTCCTCTTATAGCTCTTATCAGTATCATACCTTAACTTGTATATATAGTGAATATTCATAGTCTTTATGGTTCTACCAAGAGCATGACTAAGAGATGAGCAATTTTAGTGGTTAAGACAGTGACTGTGGGTTGGAGAACTTGGGATCTGGCTATTGTTCAGGTTAATTTTGTTATTACACATGATAGAATTATTTAATGCCTTTAGCCATTGCTTGATTAGTGACTCTTAAGCTGCTGGCTTTGTTTTTTCACATTGTTCTTTGCCCTTATGTACATACTACTCCTTCTGTGTAAAAATGCCCCTTTCAACCTTAACTCAAAACAGATACTTTTTATTTCCATATTCAGATCAAATGAGTTATGTTTTTCTACCTCTCAGATAAGTCCTCATTACTTTAACTTTCTTAAATGACTTTGTTTTTTACTTTGCTTTATTTGTGTATGCGTCTCTAATCTCCATTTGTTTTGTTATATCTATAGCTTCACTATTTAGAAATAGACTGGCATATAATCAGTGTTGGTTGTAACTGTACCTATCTGGACATTTTAAGGTGAAAGGGCATAATAGCAAACTCCTATTGTTACATTATTTTTCTTGAATCTTCTTTTTCTTTGACTTAATTACAAATAAATCTGTAACATTACTTATGTCTTCCTTTGAAGCCATAGCATCTTTTTTTTTTCTTCACTTCCTTTATGTCTTCTCTAATGCTCTTCCTTTATCTAGATCTGAATTTCTGACTTGTGTCATTTTCCTTCTCTCTGAAGAAATTTGTTTAGCGTTTCTTACAAGGTAGATCTCCCGGTAACAAATTTCCTCAGAAAGTCTTTATTTCTCCTTCATTTCTAAAGATTATTTTGTTGGATACATAATTCTAGGTTGGTGATTATTTTCCCTCAGAATTTTGAATACCCCACTTTACTCTTTTCTTATTTACATGATTTCTGGAGAGAAATTCAGTGTTTAGTGTAATCTACCCTTATTCCTCTAGAGATAAGATTTTTTCTTTTTGTTTCTTTCAAGGTCTTGTCTTCAGTTTTTTACAATTTGACTATGATATGCCTAGATATGGGTTTTGGGGTATTTGTTTTTTTTCTTAGCTCCTATATGTGGTTTTATGTCTGTTATTACTTTTTAAAAATCCTTAGCCTTTACTACTTTAAATATTTCTTTTGTTGCTTGCTTTCTTCTCTTGGTATTCCTCTTTCATGTGTGTTACCCATTTTGTACTTTTCCCTCATTACTGGCTTTTGAGTCTTGGGCAAGTTACTCTATGCCTGTTTCTGTGTTATGGGAAGGGTAATGGTTGTTTTGTGTCCCCCACCCAGTAACTATCTGTTACTATAGTAGGGCTTGTGAACTGCTTGTATTTATTTTTCTATAGTCTCCAACCGTGTGGGGAAAGAATTCCCCTTCTTTCACCAAACTCACATAAAGCTCCACTTCTGCTGAGTATTTCCAGCAAACAAACCTTATCCAGAAACCAGACGGCAGTTTCTTGTTTTATGCAGCAAAAAATGAGTTTGAAGCCTGCAACCAATAAGCCCCAAAAGGAGCCAAAAGAGCCTGGAAAAGACAAGCAACAGAAGGCAGCCCAGACTCACACACAGGAACAAAGCAAGAAACCCCCAGCCCAGAAGGGAAAGTCAGGCTCTACCTCATGGACAGGGTTCCAGACCAAGGCTGAAGTGGAGCAGGTGGAGCTGCCTGATGGAAAGAAGAGAAGAAAGGTCCTGGTGCTTCCCTCACACCGAGGCCCCAAAATTAGGTGAGATGCAGGAGGGTGGCATGGAACAGGGCAACTCTGGGCACATTTGTTTTTGTGCAGCTCTTTTCCCTTCTGTGGCATTTATTTGGATTGGATGAAAGGGATTTTTAGTGCTATGCTGGTTCCACATGGGATTAACACACAAGTTTTTCTACACCAGCAGAGAAGTTACTCTTGGATCAAATGGCAGAGGGAGCCTCAGAGGAGCCTTCCAGGGCAGGCTTTTATGCCATTTTTCTCTTTTGAAGAGCTTCCTCCTGTCCAGATGGCTAGTTCTGTCAGCTGACGCCATATACTTGAAGCTCACCTGTAACTTCTGTTTGGGGTGCCAGATTAGTGCTATGTGTAAATGTAGATTTTTATAAAATATTTAGTAAGTAATGAAGGTCTTTGTCATTCCCATGATTTAAACAACAACAAAACCTGATAAGTACACAAATGTTGATCCTTAGGATCATCTGTTCCAGAATCCCATTTTAGAGTGACTCAACTTATCCTGGGCCTAGAAAGAGTTTGAATAAAAAAGGAATTTATCTCTGGGACTCAAGAGAGCCCAGGAATACCAATTAGAGGAAAGACTCAGGGTGATATTTAATTGGATGTCTTATTTCAGGTTGCGGGACAAAGGTAAAGTGAAGTCCCTCCGTCCCAAGAAGCCAAAGACTCAGAAAAACCAGTGGAAGCAAGAGAAAAAGCAGTTATCTTCCAAGCAGGTGAGTTCTTCAGGGTACATACTTTATGGTGAGTCTCCCAGGCTGGCAGCACTCTCATACCTGGGTTAGTTGAGCAAATGTATTCTGGATTGCAATTGCATAGGACTACAGCACTGTCACATCTACTGAAATTAATAAAAACTTCTTAATATCATTTAATGCATAGCCCATATCAAAATTTCCCTAATTGTCTCAAAAATATTTTTTAATGCTTGGATAGCCTTGGTCAGGATCCATCAAAGTTCATATATTACCTTTGGGTTTTGTATTTCTTCAGTCTTCTTTTATTCTATAGTAGCCCTCTTTCTTTCCATGCCCCTTTTTTTCCATGTTGTTAATTTTTTTAGGTCATTTGCCCTAAAATATAATTGATTTTGAGTTTAGCCACTTTGTGATATCACTGAACTTGTCCCTATGACACCACATATTGCCTTTCAATTGATAGGAATAGCAGCTCAAATTCAGTTTTTTTTTTTCTCTTTTAAAAACCAGAACATTTATTGGATGGTTAATTGTTGAAATTCTCAAAATGAACTGGATGCTACAACAGTTGACCTCTTGGGTTTAGGAGTTGTTCCTTCACAGAATCCATGCCTGAATCTGTGGTATAAAATTCTTAGGTGCCTCATTAGACCAGTCCTGGTGCTGTTTTATCTTTTGGTCTTGGCACGCCAGTTATACTTTCTCTAGCTCTTGGCAGGGTAGCCACATTTGCAACAGGTTGACTTCTAAAGGTGGTAGGCCTTAGAGCTCCAGTGGTGGCACAATGTGTGTATTATTGCCCTTGCCAAATGATGACATTCCCTTTGTCATCTCCCTTCTGCTGTGGAAACCAAAGAGCTCAAGTTCAGTTTTCTTGACAAGTGTATTTCATGGATGGTGCTGTATGCTTCCTTGCATCACAGACATCATACTTGGTTGCCCCTTTTTAGTGATGTGGATATTGGTCAGTAATGTAAAAATTATCTACCTCGATTTAGAAAGTTTCCCACCAACCTTTTTTTAAAAAAATATATATATTTTTTTAGTTTTTTTAGGTCGACACAGTATCTTTATTTTACATTATGTGGTGCTGAGAATCGAACCCAGTGCCTCACGCATGCTAGGCGAGTGCACTACCACTTGAGCCACATTCCCAGCCCTCCCACCAACCTTTTATCTATGGTTTTAGCAATCATTGCTGAGTGCTATTTAGACCCATTATTTCATTATGGGTTGCAGAAAAGTGATTTTATTGTTCATTCAACCTTTTTGCATTGCAAATTGTAGGCAAAAAAATTGGGGGGTTACCACCAAATACCGTTTGTATGAGAAAGGCAGGGTAACTGTTCACTTTTTAATTTTCTCTGTGTATTGGTTTGCAGAGTAATAAGCTGTTGCCCTACCAACTTCCTATGGCAACCAATAAGAATTTTTTAGTATTTTGGAATTCTTGGTTTCCATATATTTGATGTGTTTCAGTCCAGTGCTATTATCATGCTTGTCCTATCATAGGCCAAAAGAAGCCCCTTCAGATTGGCTTCTGAGTCCATCTGACATGACCTTATCTGTCTTATATGCTTTTTCCTAGTCCTGGCATTAGCCATTTTTCTAAGGAGCCCTAGTTCCTTTTAGTAGAAAATACTTATCCTGTGTTCTTGAACATTTGAGGTCAAATTTTTTTCTACCTTCCCTATTCCATTTCTTTTAAGGTTAAAGGAAGCATTAATTTCTCATCCTACCTAAGAAATCTGTTTCTGGGAAATTTCTGGCTATATCACATGATATTAGAGATCCATTTCTGAAATCCCTTAAGTGGTATATTCTTTATTTTTTTAATATATTTTTTTTTAGTTGTTGATGGATCTTTATTTTACTTATTTATTTATATGTGGTGTTGAGAATCAAACCCAGTGCCCCACACATACGAGGCAGGCACTTTACCACTGAGCCACAACTCCAGCCCAAGTGGTATTCTTGGTGAGGACTGGAGCAAGCAAGAATGTCCATACTCTGGACTGTGTTGAGGTTAAAGTGAGTGAATGGGAGCTAGAATGGGAGAGGCTCCAAGACTTTCAGCAAGCTCTGCTCCCATGTGCTGTTGCTCTGATGGATGGACCAATGGATGATTCCTTTTGAGCTTTTCTCTTTAAGGGTCTCTCTCTGAAGGTCTATCTCTTCTTGGAGGGGTGTGATCTCTATAGCTCCTTATTTTCTCTCTTCGTTGACTTAAAGGTAAGGTGATATTTAGTGTTTGAAACTGATTATCTTATGTCTTCTTTCCTTTACTTTGTAGGTACCTAGGAAAAAAGCTAAGGAAAATAAGACAGAAGTCCACTTCAACCAGTTGGTCGAACAGTATAAGCGGAAATTATTGGGACCTTCTACAGGAGCACCTCTTGCAAAGAGGAGCAAATGGTTTGACAGTTGATGCTGCTAGCAGACTGGGTAAGAAGTCAGGCATGTACTTTCTGGTAAAGCTCTTAACCCATGTCTTTCACTGAGGGAAAGAAGATCCCTGAGAGCACCCACTCTGTTAGGAGGCTCCCTGGACTGTGCACATCTGAACTTTGGTTCATCCTCCAGTATGTGGCTAGTTAGCCACAAAGAAATATCTGAAAAACATCATGATGGTTCTTGCAATATTAGCCAGATTATTGTGTGAAGTTGTGTCTATTATTGTCCATTTTTATTCTGTTTCTCAAATGGAATTAATTGTAAAAAAGCATTCTGGAGCACTGAGTTTTTAAAATGTATAATTTGTTAACATCCTCTAAATGAAATATTGTGATTCTTTCAAAAACAGACTATGTCTCATTTCTAATATTAAATCCTTTATTATTTATTAACATTTTGACATTCCTAACTAGTTCAGCTCTATAGAACTGTATGCTGTAGGAGTTGACTAAGTAAAAGCAGAAAAAAATAAAATTGTTGATATAATCAATGCAAGGTGGAGACACTTGAATTGGAAAGCAGTTGAGGGCAATGGGCCAGGCACAGAGCAGCACCTGCTAAGTGTCTACTATTATGAAAGGGTAATGGCTGATAGCTGATTAGAGATCAGTTTGCTGTGGCTAGAGACACTCGCCTGGCCAGTGATGACCTGCATTTCTGTCATGAAGCTCTTGCTGGGGACTCAGAGCTAGTAGCTGTGGTAGAAAAAACAGTGAACATGAAGCCCAGGTCCCTCTAAGGCTAAGTACCATCACCCTGTGGATTCTTTGGGGGTCTTAGTTTCTTCACCTGTAGAATAAGGGTTTAACTAACTATTCTCTCTGATCCTTTGCTGCTCTAAATTCTTCCTTCATTCTTAATTTTTTTTTTAAATTTTTAGTTGTTGATGGACCTTTATTTTATTTACTTATTTTTATATGGTGCTGAGAATTGAACCCAGTGCCTCACACGTGTGAGGTAAGTGCTCTACCACTGAGCTACAACTCCGGCCCCTCTATTTCATTTTTTTTTAAGAGAGAGAGAGAGAAGAGAGAGAGAGAATTTTTTAGTATTTATTTTTCAGTTTTCGGTGGACACAACATCTTTATTTTATTTTATGTGGTGCTGAGGATCAAACACAGCGCCCCGCGCATGCCAGGCGAGTGTGCTACTGCTTGAGCCACATCCCCAGCCCTCTATTTCATTCTTATAATATTCATATTCCTTCTCTCTCTTTTCTAAAGAAAGGGTAGGGGCTAGGGGCTGAAATATTAGAGTCAAGGTCCACAAGGATCCTGATGGCATGAGTAGTGGGCTGAGTCTGAAAGATGAAAATCACTGGAGACAAACTGAGCTGGGGTCTAAAATCCCATTGCATAACTTCTGGTGAGAGGGTGGGAGTCAATTGAATTCATGTTAGAAAGCAGCAGTCTGGCCCTGACATGTGCAAAGGGACCATTGGGCTGTCTTAATAGTAAACATGTAAGGTCTCAGGTGAAGGAGCTGCTAGTACTCTGAGCTGGCCAGTTCACACATGCAGGACAAATGTAATGACCAAGTAGGTGAAAGAAACCAGAATGCCACATGGAAGCAGAAATGGTCATGAGTTAATTGTTGTTGAAGCTGGTCATGGGTAAATGGAGATTTGTTACACTATTCTTTCTGCTTGTATGAACATTTTGAAATTTTCATAGTAAAAAGTCAAAAAAGACAATGGATGAGTTGATAAAGGAAAGTATATTGGCCTGCCTGAGAAGAAAATTCTTGGGGGATGATAGAATGAGGAAACCAAGAAGGGTATATAGAAGCAGATGAGTGAAAGCCACAAGAAATCAGATTTTGGCTCAGCATAAGGAAGAATTTTTTTAACATAGCTGTCAGGTGTGTGAGTCCATCTAGTCCAGATATAGATGTGGTATGTCTAGGATACTGTCTGGGGACTGCATTGCCAGAGTTATGCTAAAGGAGATGGTAAGGACTGGTCAGATCATTGATATTTGGCCCCTTGATGACCTGAAGATATGTCTTTTTTCTTGCCCTGGTGCCTGAGGCCTTTTTTCTAGAGACTATCTGACATTCTTCTCTGCCCAGTGTTTTGCATATACTCAGTCCTCATTAACTCTGGTCCTTGAAGTGGCTTAGCCCATGTTTAAAACTCTGCTGTAGTTTCTCATCTTACTTTGATTAGAGTGATAACAGGCAATACAGCTCTATCCCCTCTCCTACCTTATCTTTGTTTATTCTCCTTTCTGTTTATTTTTGGCCACACAGGCCTGCCTTCAGTTCTCTTGACTCAGACACCTCAGAGCCTTTGTGTCTGTGTTCCCTCTAACTGGAAAACTTTTCTCCCCAATTAGAATATTAACTTTGTGAGAGGGAGTTTATCTTATTTGCTTCTAGAGAGACAGCACCTACAGAAACAGCACCTAGTCCTGACCCTGGCATTTATTAGGTATAAGAAGTGTTTATTAATTGAAAAAAAAAATTGAAAGAAAGAAATGGTACTCACAAGAGAAGAGAAAAAGTTGGGAACATAGGCCAGAGTTTTTGATTCCCTAGTCCAATCCAGTGCCATAAATGATGCTTTCACAGAACCATTGCTGAGCTAGGGATAGGGCTGTTTCAAGGCAGTATCTTGGGAAAATAATGAATACTCTAAATTCATTTGGTTCATTTAGAGATAGATGAAAAAGGCCTTGAAAAATATTTAGACCCTTTTGGAGAAATTAGAAGGACAGGTGCTATCTCCAGGGTTACCTTTAGACATTGTGACTGAGGGAGATTTGAACATTCTTGCAGTAGCCTGTAAACATACCTGTCCTAGATGTGGGAAGAAGTAAGGTACTTTTTCTTAAGGCTATGAAAGTAGCCACAACCTGCCTATCATTTGATAGATACTTTCTCCCTACTGTACAAATATCCCTAACATTTAAATATAATATATCTTAACATTTAGAATAGATAAAAAATGGCGTTCTTTCAGGTAACATTGCTAGATTTTGTTAGATCCAGATATTTCTTCTAACAGCTTTAGCAATTCAGTGTGTTAGAGCATCAGTCAGTTGCTTGGAAAGTTATTATTGCACAATTCTTTCAAGAGAGAGATGAGGATAAATCGTCTGGTTTCTCAACAACTGGGTTTCATATATGGTGTCCTCCTTTGAGACACGTTCCCATGGATTCTTTGGTTAGCCATTGACCCCTTGAGATTTGAATTCACTTCTACTTCACTTCGGAGCCTGATGTTTCAGGAAATGGGGTTTTCTTTTTTTTTTTTTTTTAATTGTAGATGGACACAATGCCTTTATTTTATTTATTTATTTTTATATGGTGCTGAGGATCAAACCCAGTGCCTCACACATGCTATAGGCAAGTGCTCTGCCACTGAGCTATGGCCCCAGCCTAGGAATGGGGTTTTCTGAATTAACGTGTAGGTTGAGTTATAGACTACTTGGTTACTAATAACAGTAAACATTTTTGTTCATTTTGAAGATTAAGGCCATCAGTCAAAATGATCAAGTTTTGGTGGTATTTCCCTGCTTAATTACACAGTAGCTTGGCTCAGAGGTAAGACTTCCAAATAAAGAATCTTAAGATAGTGTGCAGCTATTTCTTTGCCTTGTCCTCCTTCCCCAACCTTGATTAGTTGGTAATTTTTGAGGAATCTGCTTTATTCCGGATTATACAGTTTCTTCTTTTGGAGTTGGGCCTGGGGTAAGGAATGTGCTTCAACTGTTGTAGAATGAGAATTGTGGTGTCCTCTGTTACAAAGTTAGAGCATGTGTTTGTTTCTTTGAAATACAGTCAGGTATCACTGAAAAACTGGGGCACATTCCAAGACCTGCGTAGTTAGTCAATTTTATCATTATGCAAACATCACAGAGTGTACTCAACAGACTAAGATGGCCATAATGTTACTAGATGATGTAGTCTTTTTTTTTTTTTTTTTTTTAGTTGTAGACATAATGCCTTTGTTTTATTTATTTATTTTTATGTGGTACTAAGGAGTGAACCCAGTACCTCACACATTCTAGGTGAACACTCTACCACTGAGCCACAACCCCAGCCCTCAATGATATGGTCTTATGGTACTACTATTGTATGTGCAGTCCATCATTATGTGGCATATGGCTATACTTCAACTTTGGTATTATTTTGTCTTGAAAAGAAGTGTAATCCCAGATATTGGGAGACTGAGGCAGGAGGATTGTAATTAGTTCAAGGCCAACCTGGCAACTTAGACCCTGTCACAAAATAAAAAAGGCTGGGGATCTCTCTCAGTGGTAGAGTACCCTTGAGTTCAATCCCCCAGTCCCCTGTAGTACTGCATAAAAAAGAAAAGAAAGGATGGAGGGCAGGATGAAGGGAAGAAGAGAGAAGTAATTCAGAGTCAAAAACTTTGAAGGCTCCGGAGATCCTCTTTTTATTATACATTTGGCCTTCCATTGCCTGAAGAGGCAGGTAGTCACCACAGCGAGTACTGACTCTCCAGAATCTGCAGTTTCAGCTCTCCAGCTAACCTAAGTAGCCAGTTCTCTGCTTAATATCTCACTGTTTGTACAATGATTGACATCACCTGCCAGTTCTGTCATCTAAAGAGCAACTCTTCCCAGACAACTTTGAAAGTCCCTGTAACTTCTCCAAAAACTGCTTCTTCATGGAGATGGTCATATTATTGGACTTTGGGGTGCTGAGACAAAGTTTGTATTTCATTTTGCCTCTAGTGATGCTCAACTCTGATTTTTAACTCACTTCTAACTGGTACTTTAAGGGCCAGGATGAGATTTCTCTCAGGCCAAATAGAGATTTCCAAATTTCCCTTTGCCCAAAGTTGACCAATTTGGAAGCTGTCTACATGTGTTGCCTTGTTTTGATTCTTTTCTTGTCTTGCTACCTTTTCTTTCCAGAATTGTTTGAAAAGTCTGAGATCCCTTGTTAAATGGGGTGTTATTCAGCAGCCCAAACATGGGGTGACATAGGTGTAGTGTGTGGTTACATTGGCTTCTGATTCTGAACTGTAATTGGCTGCAGACAAGCTTCTCTATTCATGAAGGAGTTCAATGAGAAGATTGTTGGACACAGCCTGGAACCAATTCTGAGAAGAAAACCGCTGAGTTACTAAAAGACTTATTGGACCACCCCCAAACAGAGGATGTGCCCAGAGTCCACTGCCTTTTTATCAGAAATGAGCCTGTACTGCTGCAAAGCTGCCCCAGAGTCTCTTTCACTGAACAATTGATAGAAGGAAAGTCCTTTCTGTGTTTGAGGGCAGGATCTATATTTTATGCTTTGCTATATACCCTGCAACACTCAACATTGATTTACCCATAGTAGTAGTTCATGTAATACTGCTGAACTCTCTAAAGACTGTCTGTTCTAGGGCTTAGCTGGGCTTATGAAGGACAATGGAGTCATCTCCTGAGATGATACAGTGAAGGCCAATAAAAAGTGAATAATAATAACAAATTGCTGGTCACAGTACCTTGAATGTAGATCTATATCCTTTCTGCT